AGAACCTATTTTACTTAAAATGAAAAAAAAAAAAAAAATCCCAGCGATGAGATGTAGCGAACACTAAACATTCTATAGTCGACTCTGGGCTCCCTGGAGAGAACTGGAACTAGGACAATAAATACTAGGAATGGTTTTACACCTGCAGTGACCAGAGGCCTGTGTGTGGTCTGCTGCTCTGAACAGACTGACAACCCCCAAGCCGAGTGCAGCCCCGGACCGTAAGCTATGCCGCATTCGAATTCCAAACCTGGGCCAGCCAAATAGCTCAAATCCCAAATAGGATCAAAGTGCCTGCAAGCAGGCACAGGGGCCAGGGGCTGGATCCTCGGGCCTGCCATGCCAGCCCTGCCCCTGGGGCTTGCTGAGACAGCGATGGAGACTGGGGATGCTGGTGTGTGCCTGTAATACCAGCTCTTGGGAGGCTGTAAACAGGAGGATCACTATAAGTCTGATCTAGTAGTGAGACCCTAAATACCCTGTAGACCCTTCCCTAAAATACTACTACTAATACTACTACTAATAATAATAATTTCAATCCCTGGTGCCACAGAGAAGAACCATCATCTCCTGACCATAGGCCCATTCCATCCATTCCTTACTGGGCCTCACAGTTACAACGACCTCAAGAAAAGACATGGTGGTGGAGAAGCTGGAAAGGAAGAGATGGACTGTTCGCAGCTTGAGGAGGGCGCTGGTGGATTGAGTGCCAGGGAAAAGTGGTCAGGAAGTGCGCTGCACCCCAAATGTCTACCATGCCACCCATGGTGTCACCTATCTCAAGGTCCCTGATCCTATGATCCATGAGCACATATCCATGTCCTGCTAAGTGAGGTGGCCCTGGACAGCACTGAAAGTAGCACCACTTAGTGTGGGTCAGCCACCCACGTCTGCCAGGCAAGTCCAGCCTAGCAGTTCCCTTTGGTCCACTTCCTCGATTCCTCTCTCTGCTTCTGCTTCCTCCTCTTGCCACCTTCTTTAAACCCTGCTGAGCTCATGGGGGCACCCCAGCTCATGGGCCTCCATGGCCTGTCCTACTCCTCATCCTCCTCCAGCGTGAGTGTGGTGTGGACCTAGCCACCAGGGTGGGACAGGGTGGCTTTGGTGGGTGGGAGATGGAAGGCTGGGCCAGCCAGGCATGTTGGCCCCTCCACATACACTCCGCAGGGAAGGCATCCTCGTCAGCCACACTATTTATTGTTAAGGACTTTAACTGTCCATCTTCTTCAAATTCTACTCTTTCTTGACCATGCTCAACAATTTTCTTTGTGGTGATTTTTCTACCATTAACTGTTTTAGTAGAAGTTGCTATAAATTTAAAATTACTCATCCCACTGCCACCAAATGATGTGGATGAAAATGAAATGAGGCCCCCATGACCAAAGGATCCAAATGAAGTAAATCCTGTATCAAATGAGGAAAATCCACCTCCAAAGGATGGAAATCCACTGAAGGTGGAGGAAAAAAAGAGCCTATACCACAGCTTTTGCTTCCTTCAGGACCCATTCGGTTCCCAAAAATGCCTTCAAATGGGTCTTCATTACCAAAGAAGTCGAATAAAAATGGGTCCCTTCCACCAAAAAATTCCCTGAAGACATCTTCTGGGTTCTGGAATGTGAACCCAAACTCAAATGGACTGTCAAATTGATGTCCTCCTCCTCCAACACCATTTAATCCTTCTTTGCCATATTTGTCATAGATGTCCCATTTTTTAGCATCAGATAACACCTCATATGCCTCAGCCGCTTGTTTGAATTTTCACTCAGCTTATTTATTCTCAGATTTTTTTTTAATCTGGGTGCTACTGTACTGCCAGTTTCCGGTACACTTTCTTGGTGACCTCGGGGGAGGCATACCTCTGCATGCCTGGAACATCGTAGTAATCCACCATGTTTGCACAGTGCAGGACAAGTTTGAGGATTTGGACGACTGGCAGTGAAAAGGTGGAGGTGTGCAGCCAGTCCTCTTGCGGCTCTGGGATGGTATGCTGATGGTGGCTGTGGTGGTTCCTCGTGCTTTCCTTTCTCTCCTTTCTCTGACAACCAATTTACAAAACTGAACATGGGAACTGAGTTTTGGAAGATGGCAGAGTGGTAAGCAGCAAAGACGGAGCCTCTCTGAAGGTTGCCATCCAGATGCTGAGATATGACAACATGAGGAAGACAAGCAGGGGGAAGTGTGCCCTCTGGCCCAGGAAGGACTTGAGTCGAGAAATGGAGCCCACAGAGAGAGCGAAGAGAGAAGCTTCAACAAAGAAGAAGGAGGCAGTTGGTAGAACCCTCTCCCTGGATCAGGACTCACTGCATGAGAGGAGCAGCTTAAACCTTCAGGCACCTAGTGACCACTGGTGACCCCACATGCCTCCAAGAAGAGATGCAGCAGTAGGGCGGAGCAGTGGGCATGAAGGGCTGCCCTAGCTGGTGTTGAGCTCTGAGGGCACAATCATGCTGAGCCCTGGGAGGGGGCCAGCTGAGCTTCACAACTCACAGTGGCTGCTGGCTCCATTTAGTGGCTCCCACCTGGGCTCAGTCCTAAGAAAGTTGTGCTGATAGCTATAGGCAAAATGAATCTGATCCCGGTCAGAAGGTGCAGGCCCACTGAGATTATCCACTACCTCACTAAAAGCTGCTGCTGGCTTGCTGGGACAAATCAACATGGGGCTGGACTCTGTCTCCACACACAGAATACCAGTAACAGTAGAGACAAACCTGGAAGTGGACTATTTTCTTTCTCTTTCATTTTCTTTTTGTTGTTTTGTTTTGTTTTTGTTTTTGTTTTTCTCCTTTATTGCTTGATCTTGTTTTCATATGAGTATTAATGTAGTTTCAAACCTCTTTGTGGTTTCTCTGTTTTGTTCTTCCTTTTATCTCTTTCTTCTCTTTCCCTCTAGTCTTCTGTACCAGTTTCCAAAAGTAAATGTGATCTCTGTCCTCCAGACTTACTTCTAATCCCTTCTTCTTCTACTTTTATATTTTCTCCTTAACCCCTTTAAATTCTAATCCTTGAGGATAAAATTGACATATTAAGACTTACATACTGCATATAATTTTCTCATTTGGTTTAGACATTTGTTATATGGCCACAATCTTTTTCATATGTTTAAAGGTGGCAGATTAACAGTTACCTGTATCAGATCCTTTCAGTAGAATTTCTATTCTTATTTTCTACTTGCGTTTGATGCTGCTGTTCTTGCTGATGGTAGCACTTTAGCCAAAAGTGAAATAATTGTCTTAGCCAGCTGTTCTTCCTGGTATTCCAAGACTGAGAACAACTAAAAGTCATAGAAAATGCTGCGTCACAGAGCTAAAGAACCAGGTGCTGGGCCAAACAAGCAGCAACTTCTCAACCTGAACAATTTGGAGAGGTAGGATACGGCAGCAGACTCAACACCCAAAACCTGGAAGCTACCAGCTAAACCTGGAAGCTACCTCAGAGAAGTATTCATTTCTTGAGGGTTCTAAATACCAGCAATAAATCAACTCATCATGGGCAACTTATAAGAATTGATCCAGGAATTAAGCTTTAAGAAAAGAAAATGAGAAGACACTTAAACAAGATGCACCCTCAGCCATTTAGTTCACCAAAGGCAAACCCAGCGGGCAGTGAAGTGGGACAATGAAAAAGCCAGCTATCTAGCCTCTTTGAAGTGGTAACAGCAAAGCAATTCAAGGAGATTTTAGAAAAAATAAAAGCAGAAATAATTTTTTTTAAAAAACAGTCACAGGACAGTCCTGTTATAATGCTCTATATGGTTAGATTTCTTAATTTCTGTGTAAAATTATGTAATTGTTTATTGATATTTTTTCAAATTTCTTTTTATTTTTATTTTTTAAATTTTTGTCTTCATATTCTGCAGGGACTTAAAGTTTAACATACCAATACTTGATGGAAAATACCTGTTCCATGTTATGCCTAAGATGTTTGATATTCAGACAGACAGTTAAGTTAGACCTAACTGCATACATTGTAGGGTAATAATAAACTTCTCTTCTGGAGGGTTAAAAACCTAAGTTTGCAGACTAAAAATCAGAGAAAAAGAAGGGCTGCAAGGACAGCCAATTTGGCCCTAGCCTTTCAAGGTTAGTGAGGACTCAGGACATAGGAGAACCTATATTAGTGAGGACTCAGGACATAGGAGAACGTTATGTAGCTCAGTTGTGTCCCAAATTTTCAGATCAAGGAGATTATAAGGCCACAGAGGAATGTGATTGATGATGTAGAATGTGCCTAAAGAGAGTCACATGGAGAGAAAACATTCTCTCAGGCTTTCACAGAGAGCCAATTGGTCAAGCAATGGCCATGCCTCATCCACATGGCTGACCCTGACAAAGGATCTACAAACTGTGGTATAGGGCTTCAGGATAAATCCTGAGGGGATTTGACTGACCTTGGCAAATATGAAAGTTACATTTCTTGTTATATAGGTCTTGTTTTATCTTGGTCTTAACCATCCAGCAAAAAAGTATGAAAATGAAGTATAAAAAGTAAAGCCACATTAATATGCTGAGCTGTAAAAAGCTCAAGTCAACAGCTTTGGACATTGCCAGTCTTATGAAAAACCCACTATTATTATGGACTACTGGACTCTATTGGGAGATTCTGCTGAATTCAAGCACCTAAAATATTTAAATGACAATGGAATGCCCTTCTCTGACCAAACTAACCAAAAAAGTGGGATAGAAATTAATGACCCATATCTGTATATTCAAAATAGTTAGGATAGATATAAAGCTCCACTCTCTTAATTCAATGAATAGAGAGGTTTGTTATAATAGTGTTTGAGACAGGATGTCATGTCTGCATCTTGTACAATGAATAACCACTAAGACAACAATATGTAATGTATTAATTACTGAAAATGTGCCAGTAATTGGTTGTGAAACTGTCTCATTGATAATTGTTTCTCAATAAAATTATTTTAAAAAATATATATATATATATAAATAATTTTTAGATAAATGCAGAGATGGTGTACATAATGAAAACCATCCGTAGTGACTCTAGAGCAGATATAGATTTTTTAAAATAGAGGATTTTAGGAAAATTAGGGAAGCTATAAGTGGTCAGCATAGGAAAAGCAATGGAATCC